CCCCAAAACCCCAAAACCCCAAAACCCCAAAACCCCAAAACCCCAAAACCCCAAAAACATCCAACAAGATTGAAAGATTGCCAGAATGCTATTAATCCTGTAAGAAAGAATCCGAATATACACTCTTTGAAGTGTTAAACCGATTTCCACCTCTTCCTTCAGCTTCTTTCATGATCCTTTCTGAGACTTTTTGAGCCAAAGCAGTAGTATCTGTCCTATAAACCAAGAAAATATAGGATATCCCAACAAAAGCAAGGCCGATCGGCAATCCTCCCCAGGCTCCATAGATACCCCAATGAAATTTGAAGGTGAACAAGGCTGTCAGAGGAATAGCAATCACCCAGAATCCAGTCAGGGCAAACACTGTTGCATAGCTTTGAATCCCCATTGCCTTGATTGTCCCTTGGGTAATACCTTGGGTATAGTCACCGAAGGTACTAAGAGACGCCAAAGGCATCCCAGCAACTACAATATCGATAATCCCTTGGTCTTGAGTAAATAAATTCGCAATCTGATATCTGAAAACGAACATACTTGCACCAAGAACAAGGCTAAATCCCACCGCAATATAAGTAGCTAGATCCCTATAAATATTAACATTCTTAACATTCATCGCCCCGAGGTTATTCCCAACAAGAGTGTTGGCAGCATATCAGAACCCAAGAGGCACCATATACACAAACGCCACCACATTGAACAAAATAACACATGCTGCTAGTTCACTTTCCCCAATAGTGCCTCCAATTATAGTGGTCGCTTCAAAAGCTCAATATTCTAGTGCTGTAAGCATCATGGCTGGGATGGCATATTTCATGTACTGCCAGAGTCCTACGAAGGAGTCCTTGTTGATCCAGTGCATGCTGTTCTCCCTGACTGAGTCCTTTTTGAAAGTAACATAGATCACTGGTACGAGGTAATTCATAAAGTAAGTGATAGAAGTAGCGATGGCAACCCCACTGACGGAGAGGCTAAAGGCAGAAACAAATATGTATAACCATATTGGATGTAGTAATAGATTGAAAATTTGAGAGTTGGTTACGATATAAAATGCTCCTTGAGTCCCAAGGAACTTTCTCAACAGCTCTGTTTGACAATATCCCCATACTCCAGGAATCAAGATCTTTATAAATAGTCCTGCTATTTCTGCTGATCTAACTGGCTGACCTACAGATATCAAGATAGGAGTGATGAAATACAATAATATTGCTTGAGGTACAAACAAAATCGTTAATACAACTTGAGCTCTTGTATAGTATCTACCTGCAAGATAATTGTTTCCACTTCCAAAGGCTTGAGATGAAAGTGTTTCGACCCCGCCAGCTAATCCTACTCCAAGTGAGGTCGTTGTAACACAAATAGTAGTTATACCAAGCCCTGCTCCAGAAACAAGAGTAGGGTCTCCTAACCTCCCAATTACCACAAAATTCATAATATCAATGACCCTCCTCAAGATCATCCCTCCTGATGAAGGCAGGGCATATTTTCACATCTGGATAAACCCCTGTACATAACCAATCTCCTCTGAATCCTTGACTGTAGCTTCAATATAACTTCCTAAATCACTTGAACTCTTCTTGGAACTCTCTATACTCATCAGTCCACCAAACCCCAAAGCCACAAACTACCTGAAAACAAATCCTTGCCGTTCCTGTCTGACATCTCCATTTCAGAGTCAGACATGTTTCTTAAATTCATAGTTCAAATTTATAAAATCTTCAATTAGGGATCTATTTTAAGGGGTTTTGGGGTTTTGGGGTTTTGGGG